GTCTTGGATGCTCCGGCGTCGGCTTTGGATTCGAACTGGTGCTCCTCGTCCGACATCTCTGCTTCTCCCAACTTGATGAGCTTCTCTGTCCCTCTTGAGTTTTCTTTTGTTTCTGCTACAACACCGAAAGAGGGCGACTTCTGGTTCTGATGGTGTGACGGGCACTATATTAGATCCCTTCTAGGTCATATTTAACCCTGGTTAATCTGATTGAATCTCCACCGTTGGATCTGTGGTTAGCTTTTGTCTCCCCTAAACTCAGTCTGCCTTTCGAAAACTTATCCAATATGAATAGCAGAATTAAGGGAATTGTCCATCCCATTTTTATTATTTTATTCCTATCAAATTTCTAATAAACTAAAAAATATATATTTAATACTAATAAAATAAACTAAAGTTTGAACAACTAAATAAATATACAACTTAATATTTATAATTTCTAGTGTGATTAATTGCGTATTTTGAAATACGTGTTATGAACAATGAATTATATGGATTTTTGTTTGAAAAAAAAAATTGTATTACTTTCGATATTATCTCTATTTGCGGTCGATAAAATTTTGCTGAAAGTGCAGTTAACGATACATGAGAATAGCTAAGCACAAGTAAAATTTTATTTACATAAATATAATTTCACTCGCCCACCATGATCTTATAACACAAAAATTGTTGCAAGATAACAGAATATACCCAATAGTGGTGGATATTTTATATCACTGTCAGTAAACAAATTCACCATATTACTCTTATTTTATTTAGTTTTCTTAATTTTAAATTGTTGTATCCCAAAATTCATGGTTTCAAATTTTAAATTGTCGTATTCCAAAATTCATGGTTTCAAAGCAAGATAAATCTTGGAAAATTTATGAAAATAAATATTATTAAAAAAGGTACAAATAAGGACTCCATGTTGGACTTGGACGGAAAGTGATCATCTCCGGATCCCTTTCCATCTAACCCATCTAATTCGGGATTCGGGCTGTTGAAATTTGATTTAACGGCGACAGTTATTATCATTTTTAAAGAAACCTCTTGTTTGTAGTTGTTGGATCAAATTTCAACGGTTCGGATTCCAAACCAAATTGATTAGGTAAAAAAGAATCTGGAAATGATCCCTTCCCCACTTCAACTGAACCAAAGACTCCTATCCCCATTACAACTCTTGATAGGCCCATCCATTATTCCGCCAACAAAACCAATTTCTTAGCATACAAATATCCCATCCTATTCGAAAATATTTTATTTTTCTTTGACTGAACAAAATTTTTTAAATACTTAAATATCTTTTGCAATATAATTCGAAGAAAAGAAAAATGTTATTCAATCTGATTTCAAAAGACAAAAATAAAAACCTTGTTTAGTAATCAATTCCGACGTAACTTTCACAATGAATTCGAACATGTTAAAGAAACGGAGAACCGTTGTAAGTTAAACCCAAATTTGATGACAATATTTCACCATCATCCTGTATTTCATTCCTATATCAAGATTAGGATTCTCTTTCGTCTAAATCTTCTCCCTCAAGTCCCCTCCTCTTTCATTTTTTTTTTCTTTTTCTTTGCTATAAATAAGTCAACACAGATGTTGACGTGACTTAATCGTAACTGTGCAAATATGAGAGGACTGGAGGGGAGGGAAACCAATGGAAGAGTTGTGCAAAAATGTGTAAAATGAAGGTCAACAAATAACCATTTGGCTCGCATACAACGTGACGTGCTTTGTTAGTCACAGTGATAGTTTATCATAAAACGAGACATCACAATAACTGTATACACGTATCATGTAAATTGTTATCAAGAAAGAGAAAACAGTGACATAAAGCTGAAGATGATGAATGAAGATAATCATGCTATTATGTGGGGGTTACAGATAATCTTCAGCTTCATCAATTAATAGTGAGGCAAGATTATACTTTGAACCTTTTGATTAATTTTAGTGATACGGATTATATCTGTAATTAAGTATGTCCCAAAAGCCTAAAGCAATCATGCTTGATTGCTAAAGAATCTAAACTGAATTAATTACTTCTAGAAATCAAATGATAGCATCACATTTCGTTTGGATTTAGAAGATTATATCAATCATGAATATTATTGTGATTTATCAAAATATTATTTTGCAAGTTATGGTAATTAGTAGTTAGTCCCTAAAAGCAAGAAAAAACATTCCACCTATGAAGAATGCTAAGGAGACTCTTTCAAGATTGAAAATTTTCATGGACTCTATGACACATCACTGTATAACGTTGTTTCCTATGTCTACATTATAAAATATTGTGTAAAAAACATGAGGTAATAAAGAATTCAAGTTTGATTTTGAGAGTCTCTTTAGTATTTCTTTCAATGTAATTATTTGATGTCCTCTCTCTGTCACTGTGGGGGAGGACCACTTGGTTATATTTGATGCTGCATCTTCATGTGGAGTGATTGTGAGGACCATTTCCCTTGCTGAGAAAGAGGAAGAGGCACACATGTAGAAGAATGGTCCATACACATACAAACCCTATAAAAGATCCATATACTTAAGCTCATCCTGTGTTCGGAAATATTTTTTTAAAAAACACTTCTGCTCAAAAGCATTTTTTAGTAGAATCACATCAGTATTTTAACTTTTTAAAAAGCACTTATAAACACGTCATAATATATGAAAATTTATGAAAATTAAATGCTTAATGGATGGTTAATCTTGGACCACCTCGTTAAATAATTGAAATGGGCCGCATGCTTTGAATTTTATAATTCGAAGTGGTGCAGGAATTTTTCGCATGCGTGCATGTTGCAAATAGAGAGGTTGATAATCTGCAGATTGTGCACTAATAATGCAGTCAAGGAAAGATTAATTAAGTACTTTTCCTAATTCCTCCTCTAATTATCTTCTGCATTAATTAGTCTTTGATAATTAAGCCGCAGTCTGCAGAGCACTTTTGTTCTGCGCATGGCAAAAGCTAGATACGAAAGCATGCACAAATCATTGACATTTTGCAGAAACATGCCCAAGTTGCTACATCTTCTTGTTACTTATGATGGTTGGCAACTTTGACATGCATGTTACTTCCGTGTCAAAGTTTCAGATTCACTACTAACCAAACATTGTTAGTCTTTGACTTAATCACTCGTGCAATCCAAAGAGATGTGACATTTTATATAAAAAAACCACAATACAATTAACAGTAGAATCATTTAATATAGGAGGGATTTAACTTCATGAAATTTCAAATGTGAGACATGTTTCATCAAGAAATAGAACTTGGAGTTGGGCCTTCTTTTTGCACTATTATGGATACAAAAATAATGGGAAAAATTAAATTAAATTATTAATTGTTCCTATCGAAATTGAAAATAGAATTGACTATGGATTCGAGCCATAACAAATGGTTTCAGAAAACCGTATAATTTTTCCGATCTAAATAAAGTAGGTTTTACATGAAGAATATTTGGCTAAGCATGTTCTAAACACTTCCAATTCTTCCTAGTACGAAGCATCTGTTTGTAAATAATGAGTGCAATTTTTTCATTGCCGTTTAATAAGCGTAGTTTAATCTATTTACTACACAAATCTCAAAATTTAAATTCATTTAACAGCAAAATCAATGTGGTGACCAAGTTACCAACAAGCTCTCAGAGGACAATATTTCTGCTGCATCATGTGTAGAATAAGGATGCCAGACTCTACATCATTAAGTTGCAGTTTGGCACCAACGAAAAGTACGCGATTTCGTATATGTACATCCCGTGTTAGCAATCACATGTATTTTTAATGTCTCCGGCCGCATATACATAAACACACAGCCACTCATTTTGTACATTTTGCTTACGGTGGAAGCATCTGTTGGATTTTTGGATCGCCGGATCAGTCTCACTCGAATGACATCGATGTTGTTTTCAACTTTACTATCTGTCCAATCCGTCAAGTGTGAGGTTTTACTACAAAAAGTCTCAGTATTAATAAGAGTAGGGTAATTCTATTTAAACCCATTAGGTTTCTTTGAACCCACAGATGTGGGACATTTAATACTCTCCCTCACGTATAATCTCATTTAGTGGTTCACACATGGAGATCCACACATCAGTAATTGAAACTCAGAAGTCGACTCCAATGGAGTCCAAACTTGTTTTCAATCTTTTTCAAGAAGTGCTTGTTTTCAATCTTTTTCAGGAAGTGCCTTTCTAGGAACTCAGAGGCCGACTCTATGGAGCCGACCTCTGAGTTTCAATCTTTTTCAGGAAGTGCTTGTTTTCAATCTTATTCAATATTTGTCAAGAAGTGCCTTTTTAGGAACTCAGAGGCCAACTCTATGTAGCCAACCTCTGAGTTTCAATTGTTTTTTAGGAAGTGGCTTTTTAGGAACTCAAAGGCCGACTCTATGTTAAGAGTCCAAGCTTGTTTCCAAGCCCTTCCTGAGCCTTTAGGTCACCAAACCTTTAGCTTGCACATGTCCGAACCTTGGCTTTAATACCATGTTGGATTTTTGGATCACCAAGCCTTTCCACTCTAACGACACTGATACTGTTACCAACTTTATCACCTACCCAATCGATCAAGTGTGGAGTTTTACCATAAAAGGTCTCGGTATTGCTCAGAGTAGGGTAATTGTATTTGAACCCATTGGGTTTCTTTGAACCCACCGATGGGGGACATTTAACACCATCGATGGCCGACGGTGCAAAAGGTGGTCCAGGACATTACTGCAAATGCCAGAGCTAGCTAGCTCTCCAGGCTCTTATGTGAGTCTGTGACTCACCACCACTAGGTCCCCTACCGCTCTACATGCATCGTATGCATAGGATACTATCTGACAGATAATTTAGCATATCAGAACAGGCAAAGGAATGAACTTACCATCAATGTCCGAGGCAGACAAGCGAAACAGCAAAACACGAATCCTAACTACGAACAAAAGATTTCATATCGAACTAGGCTTGCTTTAGACTAGAAAGAAGGCTTCTCAAAGAACTAGGCTGATAACAAGTTCATGAAATTCTGAGACAGATACTGCAATATGTGATCAAATCAAACTCCTTTGTATATATAAATCAAACTTTCATTTCATGCCACCAACAATAAGAAACAAAAAGGAAAGAGCGAGCGAGCGACATAAAAAATTCCGAACAGAATTTCCAGGGCTGCTGTACAATCATGGAGGCAAAACAGAACCGATCATAAGGGCCAACAAGAACAAATTACTAATTAGGAAAACAAAAGCTAAACCCAAAACTCCCACATTTTCCTTGTTTTTTTTCAGCTCAATTTGTTCTTCATCTGTTACCTGCTTGCTCGATATCTTTAAGAAGTCCGACTATCTGATGCATGCTTGGTCGTTTTGAGGGAAGGTCAGCTGTGCACAGATATCCAATCTTCAGGGCCTCCTCCATTTGGTCATCTGGTCCTGTGTCACGAACTTTTGGATCAATAGCGCTCGTCCCTTTGTTCTTCCTAATCAATCCTCTAACCCAGCTCACCAAGGTTGCATCTTTCTCCTCTGGATAGTCATCGCCAAATGGCTTCTTTGAAGTAATCAGCTCAAAAAGAACAACTCCAAAGCAATACACATCGGATTTTGGTGTTGGAGAATCATACTCGGACTGAGAAAACTCTGGCGGAATGTAGCCAGGTGACCCTCGAGAGATCTCCTCATCTATACCGCTGCCAAAAATCTTTGCCAGTCCAAAATCAGATAATCTTGGCTCTAAGTTACAGTCCAGATAAACACTACTAGCTTTAACATCTCTATGAATAATTGGAGGTGAGCAACCGTGGTGTAGAAATGCCAGTGCTCTGGCAGTGCCAAGTGCAATCTTGTGACGGAACCCCCATGATGTTAACAACCCTTCAGAGCCAACATTTTGAATGCCATTGTTATTGTCTTCTTCCCAAGTATCTGTGCTCCAATCCTCTGTTGTTTGCAGTATCCCAAGCGGCAAGTCATGTAGCAAATTCTGTATATTCCCATTCTCCATGTAGTCATAGATAGCAATCCTTTGGTCCCCAGCTAAACAATATCCAGTCAATGGAACAAGATTAGGGTGTTTGATCCGTCCGAGATACTCAAACTCTCTTGCAGCTTCCTGGTCTGTCATTGTAGAACCGTGGACCAAAACTTTCACCGCTACATGAATTCCACCCGGTAGAAATCCTCTATAAACAGGCCCGAATTTCCCTTCAGCCAGAAGGGTTCCTCGATCAAAGTTCGAAGTTGCAGATAAGAGATCTGCGAATGTGAAATTCAACAACGGCTTCTCGAAAATCACTACAGGTACTGAATTTGCTTGCTTAACATCCGCAACCCATGTTGTTGAATCAGTGTGGAAGGAAAAGGGGCCTGATACGCTTTGCTCTTCCTTGTGTGAGGTTTGTTTTACCTCCCACATTCTGGTTTTCCTTCGGCAACAAACTGCTAGAAACAGCAGACCAGCAAGCAAGCATACCATTGAGAAGGTCAAAACCAAGGCAAGCTTTAGTACCTTGTGCTCCTTAGCCTTATTAGCTCGTGCTCTAAAAGGGCCCGGGTTTGCTGAAATGGGGCAGCTGTTTGTTGAACCAAAGAAAGATGCTTGGAGGGTTGCATTGGAAATTTCAGAAGCACATAGTGTCAAGTTATTGTAAGAGAAGTTGAAGCTCTCCATCCAAGGGAGTTTCTCCAAGAGAGACATCGGGATTTCTCCGCTCAAATTGTTGTGAGAAGCATCGAAAACTTGGAGATTTCTCAAATTAAGCAATGGGATTTTGCCTATAAGATGGTTTTCAGAAAGATCAAGTGTGTTCAAGTTACTCAGCCGAGAAATTTCAGCAGGAATGCGACCGGTAAGACTAGATTTCGACAAGTTAAGGTACTCCAAACCAGAAAAAGTTTCCACACTTCTCGGGAATTCTTGCCTAGTAAATCTATTGTGTGCTAGATTAAGGTGTTTAAGATTCTGGGATTGATTCCAATAGTGTAAAATTTCTCCATTAAGCTGATTTTCGGACAAATCTAAATAAACCAAACGAGACCAATTGTAACTAGCATTGAATTGTACCTTCGAAATGTGGCCTTCAAACCGGTTCCTGCTAAGGTCAGCCACCTCCAACAGCTCCTTAAACACTCCCATCACTGAACCCCGAAACACATTCCCTGAAATGTTCAGAGTAGTAATGGAATTCATCTCCGAAAAATCGGAGCCCTGGCCATGAATCCCATTCCCAGCAAGGTTCAATACTTGCAGCTTAGGCAATGCAGCACCAAAACCAGCTGGAAGAGAACCGTTTAACCGATTCGACGAAAGGTCAATCCAAACCAAAGATTGACAGCTCAGAATTCCTGATGGGATGCTCTTCTCAAACGAATTTCCATTGAGCTTAAGAACTCGCAGGCTGGCAAGTGAGCTTATACCAGCAGGAATCTCCCCAGAGAAATTATTGCTGGAAACGTCGAGGGTTTCGAGCTGACCGAAGTTGCCAATATTGTTCGGCAACGACCCGGAAATCTGGTTGTTGGAGAGAATAAGGTGCTTGAGAGAACCTATGCTCCACAAATCCGAAGGAAGACCGGTGATTTTGTTGCAGCTGAGGTTTAGAGATTGAAGCTTTGTGAGCTTCCCGATGGTGGTGTCGGGAACCGGACCGGAAAGCTCCAAACCGGAAGCCTCAAAGCCGATAACATTGTTGGATTCACAAGAAACTCCTTTCCATGAACAAACGGGTGCAGAGAAGTTGTAGACATTGGAAGAAGAAGATGAAGAAAACGAACCCATTATTTTCAAAAACTCAGAGACAAAGAACTCATCTGTATTGGGTTGTTGGGAAGCCAATGGATTCAGGAACAGTGAAAAAATCAGTAGAGAAGCAAAGAAATGAACACCCATTGGGAAAATAGTGCAGCAGAGAAAAGGGTGTGAGAAAGTTTAAACCTTTCTTTCTCTCTCTAGAACTTCAGAAGCAGCATTGCAGTAGCATAAATGGTTCTGGTCCCATTTCAGAAGTAATTGCTTGGGGACTCTGCAGCTCCATTAAATCCAAAGCACAGTGTAAAGTGGGTTATCGTTTTTGGAGAAGAGAAGACTGTTAGGCTAAAACTCCCCCCAAAAACAAGAATTTACATGAAGGACTTTATTGGGTTCGTGGTCCTTTTTATCCTCACTAAGAAAAACCCAAAAAAAAGCTCTGGGAAAATAAGCCAATGGGTGAAACAGTACATGCAAATAACAAACTTATTGCGTTCTCAAAGAGCTAAGGGTTTTCTGGGGTTTTGACTTTTGAGAGTGGGGGAATGTGAGCTCACCCTTTGGTGGTTTTGCAGGTCCACGACCATGAAATCCTGCAGAAACAAACAACAAAAGAAGAGGAAGCAATTTTGTCTCTGTGTGAGGAGAAGGAGAAGGAGGAGGAGGCTCTAGTTTTTGCTGCATATATATTTTTTAGAACAAAAAAACAAGACTGTCATGTGTTTTTAAATGAAATAAAAACAAGGAGACTGTGAGGACTGAGGGGAGAGAGAGAGAGGGAAGGAGAGAGAGGGAGGGAGGGAGGGTATATTGGGAAGGAAGAAGAAGGGTAGACAGAAGTTGAGCTTCATAAATGAGACAGGTTTAATGGAGGGAAGCAAATATCTACCATTTGGGTTGGTGGAAATTTGGTGATGTTCTTCATGGGGTGTTGTTTTCTGATCACTAGATTCTTTCTCTCTAATTGGAAGTTGGTTGATTTCTTTATCTGATTTAAGTCCAATTGGAAATTGCCAATTTTGCTATTCCTTCAATGGTGTTTTGATTAGAATACTGCCAATTAATAGTGTGTTCCTATGTATTATGTAATAACAATTGGTTTTACGCTTAAAAATTTGAGTAAGGGTGTCTGACCACATTATTTGTAAAACACTTCTTATAAATATATGAACACGTGTATATTGTCTCATTTATTCTTATACTGATTTTATCCAGTATAAAAGTTAACCTAACCAAAAAATTCTATCGAAATATCTATCGTATTGACATTATTTTTTGTTTTCAAAGTTATCAACCTTTTGAAAAGAAAATTTCTAGTTTTGTTTTAGCAAAAGAGAAATTATGACCTTCTCCCCAACTTTTCGTAAAGCATGATGGCCAATCAATTCCTACATTCATTTCTTTTGCTATTTAAATGTACCAATTTTCACTTCAAATAATTAAATATGAACTCATGATATGCCCTTAACAATGTTATAAGTTGATCACATGAAGGAAAGTATTATAATCAAACAAGACCGGTTCTGAGTTAAAATTTCAAATGGTGCTCTTTGTAGATTGATTAATAAACATTATAATGGATTGAAAAGCAAACTTATACTTACGAAGTCATGCGTTGAGCATATAACGAACTATTCTTTCATCTTTTACCAAAGAATATTGTGTGTTCGTCGTTTTAAGTGACATACGTCTATTTTTTGAGGGGCTCACCTCTATGGGTGTCCCTATAAAAAAAATAAAATAAAATAAAAAAAGAACAGAAAAGCAAACTCATACATACTAAATGCAACACACACCGCTGTTGCTAAATAAACGCTTTAATAATGAATCAAACTGTTTACTATTTATACGAATGTAACATAAGTTCATATAAAGTACTTTAATATTTTTGGTGCCCGAATTTTGTTAGCCCTCGACAATCATCATGCCCACACTGTTTCAGGCCCGTCCCTGCAATCAAAACAAGTTCACGCTTCTCATTTTGGTAAATTATAAAGTTTGCAACTTTATATTTGCTAAATTAGGAAGTAATGTGATGGGGCATATATTTCAATGGATTAGCCTAGAAATGCTTGGTGTGAGGTACCCTTTTGTTGACTTAAAACACGTACATTTCAAAAAGGTTCTCCCAATGGATTATGAGTCCCACCCATTTGCTTAAACAAGTGATGTACCCCCTCCTAACCCATGATCACCATTTAAGTATACTTAATGGTGGGTCTAGTCTTCATAGTAAGATTAAGGGACTATGATTACTCTCGCCTAGAATCAATCATCTCGATTGTTTATTGAAGAAGAGCTTACTTACGGTGGATATTTCACTTTAATAATATTCCAAAATAATAATGCAACATCATACAACATGTTATTGATCTGAAATATTATAACGGCGGAATACCGGTGTAAATCTCTCTCTCATAGCAGGTTAGTCACATGATTAGAATTAAAAAAAAAAACATATCTACATAATATTATATTTCTCCATATCTTCCATTCCATATACTCTGCTTTCTTTTGAGGATTTGGTTTGGGGTGTGACTGCACAATGAAAGTTAATAGCACATAATTAATGTCTTCAAGCTGATTAAGACACCTTTCCCTTAATTAAACTCAAGGCACATGACGGCCTTGACAAGTTTATACGACGACCCTTGTCCTAGTGGACTAAGAAAACCCCAAATTATTTGTACATGGAAAAGGGTCCTCCTTGTCAAAACCTTAGGCGATATCCGAAGTTGTTTTTAGGATGTTTAAAAACGCTTTCAAATAACCAAAATTGCTTATGATTGTATTTGATAGGAATAATTATAAAAAGTTTTGAGATCATATGTAACAAAGAATGTTTTTAGGTTGTATTTGTGTGGACGCATTTCCAATCCGCCTAGATTGCTTTTTATCATTGTGTAGAAAGAGGGAATTGAGCAGGAAGGGAGCACGCCAAGACCCGACAAGAAAGAAAATGGAGGAAGATTGCATCAAGTGGTGATAATTTGCACCAAGTGAGGGATTAAGGAGAGGAGTAATAAAAAATCCACCGCCCCACACAGGGACTAATGATAACATTTGGTTTCATGACATTGCCAATTCGCCAGCTGAAAACTAATTATTCTGAGGCAAGAAAATTGTGTTCTGAGTTTCATTTTTTACGCTGGTGAATCACACAATAGTGGGTTGAGAAAACTAGTATGCATGTGAGTCTTCCCGACTTCCAAAAGATTTAACCGCCGTAACGAAACCATCAGCCGATTCGTTTTTTTTTTTTTTCCTCAAAAAATAAAATAAAAAAAGTCCAAATCTATATTAGTGAACACATAAGTTTCCCAGCGAAGCGCATGACGTCTAAAGAGTTGGCAAATTTTCGGGTGTAACCGGAGGTATTTTCCCTCTCCCCAACTTTTGCCAGCGTTCTCATCACGGGAGAAGGATATACCCCGGTTACACGCTTAGAAAGTCTCCTATGAGTTGCACCCATGCAAAGGATAGATACGTCGTTAAAATGTTATGGTCGTCACTGAAAAATGGAAAAGTTAAAATCTGCCCGCCCCGACTCCCTGATGGAGGTCATGGGCGAGCAAATGAAGTGTCTGGGATCGACTGGGAGACGTAGAGAGGGCGTCCAAGCCCAGAAATCACAAGTACTCCAACGAAGAGGTCCCTCTACCATTTTCCAAGGCCCTGCTCGACGAGCCGACGAGCGGTGAGACACACGAGGGCTCAAAATGTAAAGCAGCACCTAAAATATCACACCACAATAGAACACAACCATCAAAAGTTCTACTGATTGATTGTAGGCGACCAAAAATAGGTATATAGTAAAACAAAAATCTTGATGCATCTCCGAAAGGCCGAAAACACATAATCCTTCAGCTAATACAATTATCCGTCCATGAGAAATCTCCCAAAGCAGTAAGATACAGCTCGCCTGCTCTTCCTCTCCACACTCCAAATGCAACACATAAATAATCACCCCTTGTTACAATCTCTCTCAACAGCTAAAGAAAACAAAACAGCAGACCAACAATCTGTTCGTCAAAGTTTGACTTCTTCCGTCATATCCTGAGCGGGTGATTTCCAGAACCATACCTGTCTAGCTTTGCCTTTTTCACCTTTGATCTCTGGGTTGCAATCCTTTGGAATGGATTTGGTCCGCCAAACGTTTCTTTGGGTTGCTTTACCTTCTTTCTCTTTCCGCGATCATATTCTTCATCCCTGCATCAATTGACATTCCACAACTCATGAGAAGATTTTATAGGCAACGCTTTTACTGGTGAAAAATCATGCTGATCTAAAGTAATGTGAGATAAAAGGGATTCCAAACTCACCATTCATCTGGTATATAACCGATGCTGACACTCTCTGCACGGCTTGATTCTATAATATGAGAAGGAGGCAGTTCTATTTCGTCCCACCGAGCAACTGCAATCAACATCTTTTTTATGAGAGACGCAATAAGAAATTATAACCACAATAACATTAGGCAATGCCAGATTCAATGGGCTTCTTGTCCATACTTTCTATGACAGAAGAAAGAACAAAACAAAAAAGTAATCCAGATATGGGAAACTACAAGGTTTATCCAGCATTCACAACTAACAGATCAATTGGTAGAAGTGAAGCTCAACTAGCCAATCAGAAGAAATACAAATGCAAAAGGCATTGCAATTGTGAAGGCAACACATGCATGACTAGATAACGGGACGGCATATATGCGAATACTAAAAACTACCAGCAACCATGGATCTATGGCCAGGAGGGCAGAGTTCTAGATAATGTACTCACCGACTGTCTCATCAAGGCCACGGGTTAGCACACCAATCCCTCCAATTTGCGATCGGTCTCTTTTATGATTGTGTGGGGTATCATTTCCCCCCATCTCCTGCAGGCTTTCTTTTGAGCACGAGCTAGAGACATTACCATTTTGTAGTCTTTTATCACTTGCAAGCACTGTACCATTCTGACCGAGACTTTCTCCAAACACTCCTTTTTGAACAGCCGTTAAAGAATCATGATGAGATTTCACTTCCCACTTTTTATCAGTTCCATCTGCATCGTTTTTTAAGCCAGATTTGGTCCCCTTTCTCTTAGAATTTCGCTTAGAAGGGTTTACCAAGGGAATTGACCGGGTTTGCTCGGATGTAGACGGCCCCATACCATATAAGCAAGAATTGTCCATAACATGTTCCTTAAGAAGGCTCTTGGTATCTGAAGACGGGTGCTTACTCCTTTTGTGTTTCTTCTTCTTCTGTACACTTAAGACCACCCGGGAAAGTAAGCTAGGTCGTAACTGCATGCATGCAACCTTAGACTTCAGCTGCTTCTTTTTCAATTTTCTATGGCGTTTGCAATCAGGAGATTTTACAAGCAACGATCCATTTGCCACAATTAATGAGCCAGGCAAATTTGCTGACTCATCAATTACCATTTTTTGGCCAGAATCGCTAGTCTTCTCACCCAAAACATTACAAGCAGCACTTCCATTGGTAAAACTTCCAACCTAAAATAAAAAAGAAGTTAAATCTGACAACACAACCTATCATAGAATTCACAAAAGATACAAAGAACAAAAATAGGAAAAAAAAATACCTGACTAATTTTAGAGCTTGGTTCATCTGATGATTTGACAGTGTGAATTCCCTCCCTTTTTGTACCTCTAGGAACTCCGGATGACATACTCAAGTCTCCCTTCGAGGAAACTACATTATTCTGGATGCATTAACAAGTTAAAAACTCAAGCACAAAACAAAAGTAAAATTATATATCAAGTGGGTAAAACTAGAGACATCAAAATGCATAGAAGATGTTGCCCACTTACATTATAAGGGGTCTCATCTTGTATGGGTTTAGTAGCCTCAAGGCTTTCAGGGTCCTTCACATTGGGTGATATGACACTGGAAATACCATTTTCAATTGACCTTCCTCTCTCATTAAGGTCAGTTTTATTGGCATCAGCTTTTGCAGCTGTGGCATTTTCTGGACCCGAAGTGCCACCATTGCTAGTTGGAGATGATGGTAGCATATCTTTTCCTGATGTACGAATCGGAATGGAAATCCCTTTCAACGAATCCTTTGGTAATGATGATGAAGATTCTGAAACAGGTTCCTTCATAGGCACCGTATTTTCTGCCGCATTTTTAGAATCAGAAGCACCACCATTGCTGCTTGGAAAGGGAGATAATGATGGAGACGACTCTGAAACAGGTTCCTTCATAGGCACCATATTTTCTGTCATTGCCTGGCAATTAACTGATGCATCCTTTAAAAGGGGCACCATAGGTGGAACTATAATTGATTTTTGTGTCACAACAATAGATGAGGATGGACCACTTGATCTGCCCTCAACAGAACCATTCTGAATGGGTACTTTGGAACCTTGGTTGTTAGTGGAAGGAGTTTTTAATCCAGCACCATTTGCATTGAAATTCTCCTTTCGAGCCACTTCAACAGGCTTCCTCGGTATTATATTTCTTCTATCACGGACATAAAACAACATGTAAGCCTTCTGTTCTAAAACAGTCCTCTCACTAACTTGGTATACCTGTTGCATCATAGTTGTGCAAACTTGTAAGAAACCTTGATTGCTTTTTTCTTTTTCTTTATTTTTCATTTCATATGCAATTTAAAGATGGTAGATTTACCGCTGCTCTATCCCTCAAATATATACTAAACCACAATTAGTTACAAAGTAATACCACTCATCACAAACAAGTGTCACAATCTGGTGATG